TGATAGGTTAACGGTTGGACTCGATGATCTTAAGGGTCTTTTCTAACCTTGACGATTCTATGATTCTATGTCTTGCAAAGCACACAGCAAGAAACACATTCACCCAGTAATTTCAGCAATAAGATCAATCTCTATAATCAGCCTAGAACTTTCTATTCCTTCTTGTCCTATTCACTGCTCAACTTCAGTGTGATAAGTATCTTGAGCATCAGACACTGAAGTATTTCTCCAATAGCAAAAGCAATAGATATACAAACCAGTGCCTTTTTTCTAATTCTCAAAATATGAATTTGTCTTGGAAATGATGACCTAAATTTGTCAGTTCACTTGTTTTACATAAAGATAGCAGCAAATAGACTAAGAGGTAACAAAGGCCAGTAATTGTCCATTCCTAATTTACATTAAAATACTTAGACACGGTGCTACACAGTTCATAACTTCACTTAAAAAATTAGATAAAGAAATTTTTGCATACATCTATACATCTGTACAGTTTGGAGAGACACACTAGAGTCCTTCTGACAGTAGGATACCACATTCCGTGCAGATCTGCTGGTGAAATCGTGGTCTGGTGCCTGGGATTAAGGGATTCTGCTTGGGATTAAGGGATTCTTCTGAACCTGTTTAAAAGTAAAATACACACATCAAAAACTTGCCCATCTGTCCTTTCAGCTGAAGGAGACTGCAATATCAACTGCACTTTATACTGACTCCACAGTAATAATACATATTTTATTGCACCCAAACAGGTTAGTGTTTTGGTTTTTTTTTCCTTCTAAGCAGGTCAGTACTAGATTTCTGATGTGTATAGAGCACATGGCTGTGAAAGACATGAATTTGCTTTCAGGGATGGCCCAGCTCAACATTTTTTTAACGAGTCAGTTTTACAGGCATGTCTCCAATGTCACCGGCCCCACACTTGGCTCAACAGCTGAAATTATCAAACAATTACTGAAAAAAAAGTGTAGGAGAAAAAAGAAAAAAAAAATGGTTAGTGACCATGGAACTACAGGAGATGCTCAGAAAAAAAAAAAAAAAAAAAAGAAAAAAATTCCATCAATTTTACTTCTTCATGCTTTCCTTTCTGCTGGGGATAATCCTATATGGATTAAACAGCCGCAGAAAGTGTAGGGTTTAAACATCATGTTAATAACCGCAACAATAATGGCAAAACCAATTTTGACATGAAGGGGTTGTAATCATAAAAAAGTGCTCCTCCTGGGTAACCTTTGTAATAATTCTGTATGCTCAAAATGGATTTCCACAACACCTGACAGATAGAAGTCTTGTATTATTTTCATTTTGTCCTTAAATCCTGTGAAACAGCTGAGTCAATAGCATCAGAACTCTGATCCCAAATAGCAACCATTCAAAAAAGTAAAATTTGTAAAGTTTTACCTAATGACGGAATAAGCACTTCTGAAGTCTTTATGTGATCAGTGCAGGAATTGTCTAAAATAATTCAGCAATATCTTTCTACCTTTTGCAACAATAAATTTATTGTCACAGTAATTAGAAGGCCTGTAAGACCCTAGTTGTCAGTTTGAGGTTCCTAGGCTATTTATTAGTCATTCAGCTACTCCTGCAGGCACTGAAATGGGAGAGAGACAGCTTTGAAGGGCAAATAATCCCAATTATCTCAGACACTTATCTTCAAATTACACCATATAGGTTCCTTCCGTCTCCTGAATGCAGGTGGGATTTACAGGACTTGTGAATGCCACACACCTGGCTTGAAGCAAGATGAACTCCACTCTCAATGGGATTTGTTGAGTCCAGCTAGAAACAGCCAGAAAGACCTTTGCAGGCCTTGCAAGTCAAAAGCAAGAAACTACCAAGAAACAACTGACAAAGAGCTGAGAAAGGTGCTGCTGGGAAAAATAACACTGTACCATTCTGAGCAATGATAAAATAAAGGGAGAAATTCTTCAGGGATCTTAGATGATAATTTAAAGGGTTGTAACACTCAAATGACTGGCATCAAAAGAGCCACATTTCATGGGATTTGCTTCCAGTTCACTGTAATTTACAGGCACATGGGTCACATATTTAACAAGTCAAGGACTATATTCTGAATTATTGTAAACAGATAAAATTACTAACTGGCTTCAGTAAGTGGAAATGCATTCAAAGGAAGAAGTTGCCTTCCCAGGTAAAGGCACACACAAAGACACTCCTAGATGCGCAAAGCATTAATTTAAAAGACATGCCTGACACACCAAACCACCCACAGAAGCATCCTTAAGTATACATCTTGATGGTAGGGCGACTTTGCAGTAGAGAATACAGAAGCTCAGTTTTATACAAAGTACAATAGATGCTGTCAGCTACAAAAGTAGTTGCTTCACAGAATGGATTTCACTGGAAGCACAAAGAAATGCCACCAAAAGAACAAGATTTAAGTTGTTTCTCATTCCCCCCCCCAAAAGTTATTAAGAACCCTGAGACAAAGTTCACCTCTCAATCTCTTATGAATTTCTCTAGGAAAATAACCGTTTAAGATGCATGCAAGTTTCTCACTGATGGTTCAAGTTAATGCTCACCCTCTGCGAGCTTTATGCATTAATTTGACAATGTGAGATATATTTCATACCAGATTTAACTAAGCTGCAGGACTCAGGATCTTCTAGCCGGACATCTGAAAATGAAGCTTCAGATGGCAGCTTCTTCTGTTCCTCTTTTAAACTCTGTGCAATTTGCTGCAGAGGAAGATATACCACAAAATTTTAATTTTTTTTTTCTCTCCTTAATTTAAGCAGCATTACACTGCTTTGATTACAACAGCGAAAAGCATACTAAATTGCAAAAGGAGTCAGCTACACTCAGCTCCCCAGTGTTTCAAAGACATTAAAAGAAATAAAGCCAGATGTTTCCAAAACAGTAGCGGAAACATTTGAATTCACAAGTATTACACAGATCTGTGTAAAGCATTGTTCTTTCCATTTTGCCTGGTTTTGCTGACCTCTAAACAATAACCAGTGAAGCCACCTAGAAAGAGAAGCTCAAAATAGGGGAACCCAATTCAACACTCACTTGGATTTCATACAGATAATTTCTGTGATGGCTTTATTCCTATAAATGACATGTGCAGATCGCCTCAAAGTACTCTCCAGTTTATTCCCTACAGGAGTTCAACAAAAAGCTTTCCCCTAACTCTACTCGACATTTCCACACCTCAACCTTTTTCACTACTTGGTCTGCTTCAAAGCAACGAGAGGCAGCAAGAATGGGCAAAGAACTGCATTAATATTTGAGCAGAACAGCACAAGAAATATTTCTGCCCTGTGCTTTTAACATTTTAATAATTCATTTACTCAGACAGAAGGTCTCTCTAAATAGCAAGGTTTTGAGGTTTAAAAGCAATCCAGTAGCAAAATGAATCTCAAACCAGGCAAAAACTGGAGTCTTACGAGGACTTATGAAGAGCAGTGTAATTTCTCGATTTAGAATGAACAGTAAAACTCACTTTCTTCTTCCTGCCTGAATGGCCATAGGACCCTAGTTAGAAAATAAGGCCTTGTGTAGCCTAAGTATCTGCACTGCTTGCCTATAGAAGTTATAGCTAACGTTAAAAAGTTCTCACAATCATTTTTTCTTATCCAGTTCTATTCACACAATTTTAGGAACAAACAAACAAAAAAAAAACCAAACTGCACTCCTAACAGTTATACTGGTAAAACTTCTGATGACTAGTTGTTCTGAATGGAGGGATCCCGTTAAGCTACATTTTGTGTGATGGGCTTCTCAATTATTATTTTTGTTTTTTCTTCAAAAGCTTATTAGTCCTTAAACTTTCAGTATAAAGGGCAAGTATTCTACAAACTCACTAGCTTCAGGATTTGTAAATGCTTTCCTAAAACCCTATGAATGTCCCTTACGATCACCAAAGCATAAACTGTAACATAAGAAAAGCTTTAGACATGTATAAAGACAAGCTTATAGCAATGTGAGTTCAGTACTAAGAAGTTTCTCAGTGTTTGTCTGTTTACGGGCAAGAATTGAACACAATAAGGTACAGTTATACAATGTTCATTTCTTCCAGCCCACAGCAAAATATATATAGCTATAAAGCTTCTGCATTTTATGTAAGTAATGTTCTGATTCTGAAGTCAAACAACAGCTTCTCTAGCAACTGGTCAGCTGCAAGTAAGTCCTAGAATTTTCTAAGCACCACCAGCTATTCTGGTAGATAGATGGAAAGCAGAATAGAGTAATAAAATCTGGATCTTGTCAGTCCATGTCAGAATTGCCGTTCTTGCTCAACTCAGTCTTTTGACAGCTTGGGCCTCTGTCCTGGTTTCAGCTGGGACAGAGTTAATTTTCTTCCTACTAGCTGGTAGAGTTCTGTGTTTTGGATTTAGGATGAGAATAACGTTGATAACACACTGATGTTTTCGTTCTTGCTGAGCAGAGTTTACACTAGTCGAGGACTTTTCAGCTTCCTGTGCTCTGCCAGGTGCATAAGAAGCTGGGAGGGAGCATAGCTAGGACAGCTGACCCAGACTGGCCAAAGGGCTATTCCATACCATATGACGTCATGCTCAGTATATAAGCTGGGGGAAGAAGAAGGAAGGGGGGGACGTTCGGAGCGATAGCGTTTGTCTTCCCAAGTAACCGTTACGCGTGATGGAGCCCTGCTTTCCTGGGGATGGCTGAACACCTGCCTGCAGATGGGAAGTAGTGAATGAATTCCTTGCTTTGCTTTGCTCGCATGCGCAGCTTTTGCTTTACCTATGAAACTGTCTTTATCTCAACCCATGAGTTTCCTCACTTTTACTCTTCTGATTCTCTCCCCCATCCCATTGGGGGGGGAGCGAGCGAGCAGCTGTGTGGTGCTTAGTTGCTGGCTGGGGTTAAACCACAACAGCCTCTCATTATAAAGTGAATGCCAACAGTTATTTGGGGGGGATCTTTATTATGCTTAATCCCTTCCATGCAATGCTAGCTTTCAGTTCCATATCAAATGCAGTTCGTTCTAGTCAAAAACTAATTTAAAGTCTTTCATTGGCCACTTTCTTATTTCTGTGAGTAGTTTAATTCTGAAATCTTTCATCAATATAGTATTAACCTTTTAAAGTGAGTAGAATTGATTTGATTCCTTTCAACAGGAACATTGACTCAAAGGGCTTGAAATGACTACAAAAATGGCTAACACTGGTAAGAACTTGAAAAAGGCTACTGGAAACCATTGCTGACATGTTAAATTATCTAAAGGTACAAGCAAGTCTCCCCTCACACTGTCTGAGCACAGCGTAAACACATGTACTGAACACTAGCTGACCAGTAATTCTGAAAACAAACTTGCAGCTAATCGTGCCTGTCTAAAGCTTCTCTTCAACTCCAGCTCAACTAGAAAATACACTGGGTAATACCTACTACTTATGAAAGTAAATATTTACTGTTATGAGAGAAAATTTACAAGCTTCAAGTTTAGATAAAACTGTTAACTGTGAGAACTATCGCCAGTTTTACCGAGTTTGACATAAAGTGTTCTTTGACATCTAGTATAGGGTCATAATATGATCAGCAGGTGCCAGTTTGATAGTGCCAGTAATACTAAATACACCTAAGAACTGGAAAACCCCATCTGCAAAGCACTACACTGCACAATTGTATATACTGCATATAAAAAGAAAACCAATCAAGGACAATAAAAAAGCTGATGTTATACCTCCATCATTTCCAACTTGTCAGGATATGCAAGATCGCCCGGAGCAGGCTTGTAGCCTGTGATATCAGTCTGAATGTAAATATGCGTCCTATAGACAAGACGCTCTTGTACATCTTCTAACATCTGCTTGACACCAGCTGCAAATGCACCCAGTTGTTCAGCTGACAAAGGTAAGAAAAGGCACAAATTTGTTAATTTAATTACAAAACAAGCTTATAGACACAAAAGTTCGAAGTATCCCATATAGAACCGTCACAAAACTGGCTTTCTGCAGATGAAGTCAGATTATTTTTGGAACAGCAGCATGCAGACAACTTTGTGACAAATAAGGAATTACTGAACTCCAAACTGCAGTTGCTTCAGCTCCCCAAATTTTCATTAGATTGTGAAAATGCGATCTCACACTGATAACATCAGACAACATGTTAGAATTAAGCATTCTAATTATTTGATACCTGGGTACGTCGAGTGGCATTTCTGCCTGGACACCAAACCAACGTGCTTTGGTTCTGTCACAGTCAATGCCTGCAGTCTGACTGTCGGGAGCCGACAAGCTAACTCATCTTCTGACCTACCAGAACAGATGATCCGAAGCAGCTCACATCCAACTTAAGAACTACTGTATCAGCCTGACTTTAAGTAGTAGGAAGTCACTTGTTAAGATTAGCTGAAAGATTATGTCACCAATTTTTTCCTCATTCCCAACGTTGTTACAATTCTGCTTCCAGAAAAACGAGCAGTTCTTCACGGTATTGGCACAGCCTCAGAGACAAAGAGTTACGCTGTGTTACATACCACCGACCAAGTATGATTTCTGTTTATCGCTTGGTGCAAGGTTAAGACTGTGAAATCATTCCATTATGCATTGGCCATACTAAGGCAATGAGATACTAGATTTTTTTCTGATGGTCATTTCACTTCTATGAGTCTCTGAACACTTCCAAAACTCAAAAATCTCTACCAGCTGTGTAACTCCTCTGCTAAAGTTACAATTTCTAGTCTGGGAAACACTATGTCAAGGAGAACAAAAAAATCAGGTTTGCATTCCTTTGTTTTATCATCGTGTATGCAGAAAGCTCTACATGGATGATGGATTAGCAGGGACAAGTGAAGCAATTCATTCATTTGAAAAGTTCATTTAAATCAGTCCTGGTGGTGCACGTATATGCACTGGGTGGATGCTTGCTTTCATTTGTACAATCTAGAGAAAGCAGGACTCTACAACATCAGTATATTAATTTAAATTGACATATACATAGACCCATAAATACAGACCTTTCTATTATAAATGAAAAATCATAATTTAAAATAACCTTACTTCATCTTTGACATTTTTAAAACCCATTCGAAAGAAAAAAAAAATCTAGGGATTATTTTGCCTATGTAATTTAATAGTTTTACCAGTTAAGTAGACAGTTAAAAACAATCAGGTTCCATCTATGAGTTACCATTGTTTTGTACGTGATCCTCAAGCATCTCGTTTTTGAGTATCCCGCAGAGTTCAGAAAGTGTCTCTAAGTGAATGACGTGGATGATCATTGGCCTCAGGACATCATACAACGAAAGACACAACTTCTCCAAGAGCTCACTATGAAGAAAAAAATAAAAAAAAGCAAAAGACTTTCAGGATCCTGCAATACCAAAATAAAATTCTATCACAAACACGGATTATTTTATGGCAAAGATTTTTAAAAGGAGAGTGATAAAGGACTGTTTAAAACACAAATCCCTGATTTCCCACAAAGCCTTTTAAGAGACATAGGATGCCAACTGCTTAAAATGGTGGTACAGTTTTGAATTAATTTTAAAATTAAAAAAAAAAAAAACCAAAAACCACCAACAACTCAACCTGTCACAAAGGGAAGATACTGCAAACTGGTTTACCTGGCTTCTGTGTAAAGAAATGCTCCTGCTGAGCTCAGAATCATTCCACCATTTCCCCTTGAGAAAAGGCTCATCTGATTCCAAGTACTCAATAGTTTATTAGAACCAGGAGCACATGAAGAGGGACACAGGAGGAGAAGCTTGGTAACCTTTTCTACAACAACTTCCAACATTGCAGGGCACAGTTTCCAGTCTAACTGAAGTTATGATAGCAATGCAATATGAAACACCAGAAATCCCACTTCAGTTTATTTTTTTTTCTTTGCTGTTCAAAGTGATGCATATCTTGGTTAAGACACCAGCAGCATTCATTCTAGACATTTTTGCCATTCTCGATGCTCCCTTCACTAATCACAGATTAGCTAATAATGCTGTTGCCAGTAGCTGAAAAATTCAAGTACTTCCCCAGTTAGACTTGGAAATATAAACATTAAGAAAATTTAAGTATTTACAGTGTGGTACAGTTGTTGAGTTTATTGCACTATATTTTTTTTTTTTCTAATTCACGAAGAATGTCTGACAATAGGACAAGGACACTTCAGTTCCTTTCAGAGTGTGGACAAAAAATGCTCACAAAAGAATGCTCACAAGAGAAACATTTTCAATGCCTCTCTTCTGTTGTATTCTATAGCTTTACAAGCAACTTGATAAAACAATAACTCTCCAGGTTAAAAGCAGAAACAAAGGAGAAAGTTTCAACAGCCTTATTATTAAACACCACACTCAGCCTCAGATCTCTACTTTTGGGTAGATTTTTGGTAAACTCTTATCTGTAGATAGACACCTAGCTATTATGTCTTCAGAGCACCTCAGCACTTCAGAAAAAATGAGGCTATTTATTATACAGCTAAGAAAAAACTAAGAAAGCAGTTACTATTTGAAACATTTTCCTCAAAATATTTTATTTAGATGTAGGCAAAAAAGGTAAGCAAGTTCTTAAGAAAGGAGGTAACTACTTTCCATCAAGATTCAAAAATAATCCGAAGTCTATTCTCATTCTTGGTGTGAAGAGCAATAGTGATAAAATTTCTGTCTGAACAACATTTTACAATGATTTCAATTAAGGATGTTTACTTCAGGATTTGGACTGAGACAGCTAAATTGGTTCTTAAGCCGATTTAGTTAGATCACCTCAAATCCTGAGCATGTCCCACACGAGACCTCAATTTCTCAGAAAAGAGAAAGACTGTTACCGCTCTGGCACTATGGTTGATTTCTAGTGAGGCTTTAGGCGTTTATTGTTTTCCTTTAGCTTTAGAGGACAGGGAGGGTAGTGGGCAGTATTTCTTCTGGGTTACACTTGTTCAACTCAAGCTGCACTTGATTTTAAGATAATACAACACTCGAAACCAGTGTCTCAGTTATATTAATAGGAATACACTTTATTTATGAATTTCATAGCAAGGGAACATGACCTGCCTAAATTTAAAAATTAAGTATCATTATTAAAACATACCAGCAAATTGGAGAAGGGACATAATCTACTCAATTGCTCTAATGTTACAGGTCTGTTGTAACAAACTTACAATACTTTTATAATGCAATTACCACGTAAAGACAACAACCTGTGCCTCTTCTAGATCTAGGCAGAGCAGATACAGATGCTGCCCTTGCCAGGTGTCCACTACCCTGCCTTCCGTTCAGCCCACATACAGGCACATGCAAATATTCCTTGACAGTAAGGGCAGCTCACTAACTATAAATCTTTGATGAAAAATGGCTGGAGTTCATCAGCTTAATTTTACACTGAAGTAAATGAAAAGCACTTCTGCAACTGCCTGTGCAAACTGTTGGCACGGAGGCAGTACAAAAACAGCTGAGAGCTGTAGCACTGTAAACTTCTACAGCTCTTTCCAAAGCAACTGTGTGTCTTTATCTCTTTCAGACCATCTACAGAGCATTTACATTACTCAGATTATTTCTGAAGAATGTAAACTATCAGCTTCACTTGAAAGAAAACGAAAACAAAGTGATTAAGGGCTTTTTTTCTTGCTCTTCTTACAAAACCACTTCAATACAACCCTATTTGCCATATAACGTTATCTACTATATTACAGCATAGTAAATACAACATGTAGTAAAACAAAACCAGCATGTACCACCTACTCCAGTTTTGGTGTTGGTTTTGTGAAGAACTCATTGTAAAGCTGGTGTTCATCCTGGCATACATGGACCATAAAGGCACAACCACTTCGTACCTGTATTCACAGAAATACAAATACTTGATTATTAAATTATTTCCCTTGCATCAGTACCACAGGAGGTATTACAAATATTACTATTATATATCATTATAGTATATATTGTATTATTATTACCACAGCTATGATTAAATTGAAGCTTTGGGAAATTCAAAATTATTGAGCTCAACTATAAAACTAAGGACTGAAAAGATGTTACTAGCCAAATAAAAGCTCGTTGTGCAACTTCTGTCCCTTTTCGTTTCTGATGAAATTTAAGTAGCCACGTTTTATGCTTTTGCAAATACCCCTTTGTGAGGTTTGTAACAGAGCAGAGTTTTTACAGAATAATCTTCCACAAAACATGCATTACTTGAATAATAGTAAAATGTTAACGATTCAAAACCATAAACAAAAGTGACAATTCTGCATGCAAACAACTGAATTAAATAAGTATATTTTACTTGGGGGAGGGGGATTAAAACATAACAAAAACCCCACAACACATGACTACTTTACGTACCAAAGCACAATGATCTCTGTTGTTCTGACTGGTTAATTCTGTAACAGTGCTAGCAATACTTGGACCAAGCAAAAGCTCCCTCTGGTCAAGATAACACTGATGGATTTCATTGAGAACTTGTTGATACCTAGCCAAGAAATTAAAACAGTAACTGCATCCTGAAGCTCATTTTATGGTAAACATAAAATTCATTATAATACTCTCTTTTAGGTCTACATAATTTCATTTTTTAAAACTTTCTTTTAAAGGAATAATGTGTTAAACAGTACTTAAACAAAAGCAAAAATTTTCAAAACAAAATTGATGAAAATAAATTATGTAGACATACTCACTCTGGCATTTTTTCAGATCTTTGCTCTACTTGTTCAATAAGAGTCTACTCAATAAAAGAAAAAAGTATTATCAGTAAATGACTTTTTCTAATAATTGGAAAATAGTTTGCAGTATTTTCCCATGGACACAATATGCAATCTTTGGACATTCACACTTGCACAATATGCAATCCTTGCATTCACACTACTACTAAATCCAAACCCCATTTTCATAGCTTCCTTTTTAACAGTTAGTTACCAGCCCACTTACTCTGACTTTGGGAGCAGCTGCTCTGAATTTTACATAAAACAGCGTGAAGGCATTGTCAGAATTTGGCACAGCTGAAGGATCCTGAAAGAAGAGATGAGTAATTGGTTAAAAAGGAAAATACTGTATTTGGCTTCTAGTATTAAATGGCCAAGATAATTACGCTCTAAAACAGGGTATTGGTTCTTTACACTTATACTGCCAGCGGAACAGCTCTTTGCCACTTTCCATCTAGAAATCCATGCTTGTTACAGAACTTGGATAAAGCCAGATTGAAGAACAAAACCCATAACAAAAGTTTCAACCAACAGCCTCTACAGCAAAAGTAACCTTTTCAGTAATTACGGCATTCTCCATTAGAGAGAACAATTTTCTCTGGACCTGCCACAGTAGTACTGATTGTTGCTCCTTAATCTGTAGTACTAAAATGGAACAAAATTTCCCTTTTACCTGCCAGTGCCAGGGCGGAGAAGCTAAGTTTCAGCTCACATTCAAGCTTCTACTGGCATGTCAAGTTTTGAGCCCAAGCTTAGCTGGTCAGACAGCTTGAACGTAGACAAATTCTAGCACTAACAAAGCAGAGCAGAGACCCAGTTTAGCCACCAGGCTTTTTTCCCCTTATCCCTACTGATGACAGAGAGAGAAACAGACAGCCTTCCCTTGAAACACGGTGGGGACAGGAAAACTCTTCCACCTTCCCCATCTCCTGTTTGCCTGTAACAGGACTGAGCACAAGGCATACAACAATTAACTGGAGAAAGAAAGAAAGTGGGTAGAAAGAGACTTCCCCCTTTCCCTTCTCCTCTGCCAAAATATTGCAGCACGAGACATTAACATTTTAACGAGACCAAAAAACCTCCCTACCCACCTTCATGCCTAAATCCCACTGGAGTGAGCGGGACTAAAGCACCTAACTCTTCCCTGTGACTCTCTAACATCGCTGTCAACATTTTAAAACTAACCAAAAGATACTGCCAGAACTAGTAGGAACCTGCCACAGTTACTCTCTGCAGCTATGCAAAGCCCTGCAGACTTATCAAAAAGAAATATTTAGATGACCAAGAGCACCCAAAAAAAACTTACTGGAATATAATACTGAAGGACTCATGTCATGAACTCAGTGTTATTGTGCTTTAACAGTTTTCATCCTACAACACCCAGCTCCCATATACTTTCTTCAAGTATTCCCTGCAACCTCTCTCTCTCTGTCTCTAACGATCCACCTCCAAAACAGACGCCCACAGTACGTGTATTTCTCTTGTGCTCCCTCCCCAGTCAGCAACACAGATAGCAGTGTGCACTGCAGCTGATTCAGAGCTCCAGTGCACAATCTGGTTCAGGAAAGCATGCTGTCTGGCCAGCTGGTTGCTGCCTCTCTAACACAGTCATTTTATCCATCCCTGGCCTTCACTGAGGTTACTGTTCACCTACCTCAATTCACCTTCTTCAGTTCCCAGGATCTTTTAATTATTACTATTTTTAAATCTTTTGGATCACTAGGACTCTGTCAGATTCAGCTGAAACTTGGCCAATCTACACAAACACTGTGGTATGGGACTGGCCTATTTTCACACAAAACTGCTGACACCTCCCACCCTCAAAAAAAAAAACAAAAAAGGAGAAGAAAACTGTATAGTGTTACAACAGACATTTCCATACAGCTCGAGTTACCACTTACTGATTCACCTTACCCTTTTCATTAACTGGCTTGTGAGGTTCTGTAGCGTATTCACAGTGTATGTCTTGATAAGGTGCATAGCTTTAGAAAGGCATTGTTTAAACTTAGTCAAATATACAGGATAGTCTTTAAAATTTGGCTGAAAGAAATAAAAAATCCATTTTAAATACGAACAATAAGAGAGTCAAAAATTTATCTAAACTTAAAATACTCTTTTCACTAGCTAGCAAAGCTAGTTTGTACGAACTAAAAGCAGTATTTTATAAAAATTAAGCAGAATATTAAGTATATTCAGTAAAAATGTCTTAAGTTCATAAACCATCATCTTTGCTTTCTTACTGTATTTGGCAGAGAGAACATTTTATAGGAAAAAAAAACAGCACCACAAAAATAGCATGAATAGTATGAAACTATTAAGATTTAACTAAAACCAATACAGAATTACTTACATGTGATGAAATATATGCAATACAATCATCAAGCTTAGCCAGCATGGGAATGAATCCTTCACTGTTCACGGACAGCGTAGGGGAATTCAATTTCTTTGGAAAACAAGACAAAAGCCTCATTGTAAGCAACACAAGTAACTTAGTACTGGCGACAAAGTTCAAAAGATCAGTGCGTTTTCATTTTCTAAGACTATTAACAGTGAAATAATACTTACTGTATTGATGTTTTCCAGCTCATTAAAATAAGAAAGTTTCTGCTGGATGTTTTCAGCCAGGTCAACAAGTTCTGACTATTAAAAAAACAATGAAGAAAAGAAAATCAGCAACCTAGCAAGCAGTTTAAATGTATTTTTTATATATATATATATAAAATTATTCAGCCTCCCCTTCAGCTCTCAGCACACACCAGTGTTAACTAGCTCTAGATAACTTGCACCTAAATAAGTACAACAAAAGATGCAGAACAGAGCAGAGCTCTCTTGCTCTCTCTTACCACAAAAAGACACATTACTCTCAATAGCGTATGTAAAAACATACATTCTACAGGTTCGTCAGCATTCCATAGATACTATTGCATACAAACAGCAATGCTGTCATCAGTAGTACAGAGAACTGTAGAAATCCTGTATTGCAGGACTGGAGCCTTTAAAAGTTCTCCCTTATTCAGTCATGCTAAAAAGACACCTTCATATCACTGTTGGAGTAGTTCATGAAGAGAAAGAAAGTATCTGGGAAATAAGCTCGTAACTTTAAAAAAAATCTTTCTTCTTGCAATAACCAGTTCAAATTATTTCTGTAAGTGATATGAATTATTAATCTCAATGAAGTTTGCACTTGTCAGGCATCAGTTACAAAAGCTCCCCTCAGCTAGCTATCCTTCTTGATTCAAGTGTATATCAACACATACTGAACATTTTACTGCACAGAGCCTGACACCCTAGCTACAGGTGTAACACACCAAAAACGAGGTCCAAAGTAAATGGAGGGATTGTCACCACAGCCCACAAGTTTCCCTAACCTGAGAAAAAGAAACTTTTTGTTTATGGTACCTTAGAAGTTTCCAGTGATCCTCCCATCAAAGATTACCTGCTCTTTCAGAAGTTGTTCACAGGCCTCATGCAGCGTTCCTGTCTTCGTGGACACAAAAAGATACTGTTTTTGCAGTGACTCCAGGTGCTGAAGGGCACTATTCACATCATTCAAGATAGCATCACATTGCTCCTGAAACCCAGACAAGTAATCCCTCATCTGTCTAGAAAAAGAGAATCGACAGATAACAAGTAAAATTTCACTTTCTGTATTTGCAAATCCAGCTGCCTGCAGGGACACTGCCACTACCCTTCCCCCTCTAGGAATAAAAGACCACTTGCACCAACCAAGAGTGCACAACAAGCAGGTGTTTCGTGATCCGCAGAAATAACAGAGCTATAGGGTTTGGAATAGCCACTGCAGTAACTCCATTTCCCCGACATTCCTTATAGCAAGCCTACCCAGAAAGCGGCAGCATGCACCACAGCTCGTTTAGAGCATGCGAATACTGTCTAGATGGACAGCACAAACATAGTGACTACTGAAGGCTACTGCTAGCAGCCAAATTCTACCTGCCTTGCTTCCAATAGGAGTGTTAATTTGGGTCTCTTCTTCTATACAATTTTCAGTTTCCATTTAGAAATTACTTTTACTCTCCTAAAGTAGCTGAAATTATCCAGATGATTCCAAACTTACTGTGAGGACTGGAAGAGGCTTACATGAAATAGATCCCGTATCTAATGTCACCAAGTTTGTCTCAGACTCAATGCAGATATAAACTCTAAACGATCACTGAATATATGGCAAGCGTTCAGCTTGACTAAAACATCATTTAAAATGAATTACTCTTGGATGTCAGCTAAAACTTCTGAGCTCTACTTTACCACATACAAAGCAGAAAGTAAAATCACAGTTCTCTCTAGTCACGCACAACCCTTTAGTGTACAACAGGCAAAGAACTTATTTGCCTCCTGCTCCTCTGGCCTCCTGCAAACAATTACATATTGGCCATCCTACAAACCGTTCTGCACCCATGGCACCCTGAAGTATCTGTGTGCACTATTATGAACATGTCAACTGTCAAAGTGCAAGGGTGCTACTCTTTTTAGGTTGTTAATGATCTGATCATGGGCTTAGTATATGCCTAAACCTCTGCTTCTAAGAATCGTCGTGTCCTCAAATGTCAGAGCAAGAGAGGAAGAGATAGATCAAAGAAAAGCAGAGAAAAACAGAAGAGAGGAACACAGCAGCATCTCTTTGTGGCCAAGGGCAAGTTTGTAAAGTCTGAAAACACAAGCCAGTTTCCATAAAAGCCATCAGCACATTTGGCTAAGCCATTCAGCTGTACTTCAGACTCTTGAGGAGTAACTGCAAAAGTCAGTGGGAAGGGGTTCTTCTGAGCCTGACAGAAAGGTCAGTTAGACAAAAATAGATGAGAATGCCAAGTCTCAAAACTGGAGTTGAGCAAAGTGTCAAGGAATGCAGGGAATGCAGATAGAGAATAACAGCCATAGTCACTGGTGAACTGAATGGCGAGAGCAGAAATGACTACCAGCCACACCTGCTTACAGTCTTGCCCTCAGAGGATGCCATTTCAATAGCAGCAGCAGCTGAAAAGGCATATGAAAGCTCTTAGATTGCCTTTGTCTACATCCCTATCTATAAGCCAAAACTAATTTCAATCTGTCTTAATATACTGGGCAGTTCAGAAGGAAATCTGCGTCCCTTTAACTGCTCTGCCACAAGGGCAATAGCCTTCAGGATGGGAGTGGGGCACACTGCCTTGGAAAGCTTCAGCTGTTCCAACAACATTCCCCCATTCCCCGCCAGCTGAATCCGAATGCATGCTAATACTATACGGACAAGATTAAGTCCTTCAAGGTTTAAATTGCTTACAATGAAAGGAACTGAGGAAGAACACGTACCTATACTTGGCACCTTCATCTTGATCCATCTGTGTTTGTACCTGAGCAAACCAGGAGAAGAACTAGAAGAGATTTTATGGTGTGAACAACACAGATATCACATGCAATCAATTAAAAAATCAGATCTATGAAATGAAGATGAGCTTTTGTTAAAAACAGAGATGTTTCAGAACTTAATTATTAATCAAGAAAACGAACTGTAACTCCTTGCTGTAGGTCCCTTCCAACTGAAATACTCTATTCTATTACTCCATTAAATTAAAACGAGAAAGACCAAATTTCATCTGGTTTTATTTGCACAACAACAAGGCTGTCACATTAGAAAGGGGGGGAGGGCACACGACATTCTTCTATATTATGAGCAACGCCACCTTACTGAAGGGGTGCCTTACTCTCACATAAGACTCCACTCAAAATGTGAAAAGTATCTGTTGCTTAAGAGCTACGACTTCGACGATTTCCACCCCCCCGCCCCGAGTTTCTTCATGCACCTTGAAAATGGCCCAAAAAATTTAACAAACCCACCAAAAGCTAGGCAAGGGACACAGAAACTCACAGAATTCTCCGAAGAAGACTTCTGCAACTTGCAGATTGTTCAGCATCACTTACCTGCTGTGCTGTTTCAATTCTTTCATCCTCCATCCCTAGTATGGCAAATCCTTTCAAGAGGACATCCTCTGTGGATTCTGGCACCGCAGCTGTCAGCGTAACAGTTAGCGACTGGGATGCTAGGCTGCACAAATCTTCAATTGGAAGCTGTTCACAAAACCCCACAAAACTTCAGTTAGAGAACTTGATAAGAATTAGTATATTCAGCTCAACGACAGTAACACAATGTCTACCTTTGAAGAAACAAATGCAATGGACATTTTATCTATCAGGATGACAATACATCAACAACTACCACATCTATATATTCAGAAACACTTAATTTTTTTTTTAGTTAAAATCAGAAAATATTATACAGCATTTTATATAAGTACATGTCTGTGTCAGAAAAGAAACTGAACGTACATGTACCTTACATACTGATGAGCTATACTTTAATTTCCAGTTTAACTGGTTCTATATCCGGAGAAATGCACCAGAAAAGTATCTGAGAATATAAGAATTCAGAACACACACAGAAGTAAAAATAAATGCCACAACTGTCTATGCTACATGGCAACACCACCGCACAGGAATTGTCAGGTTTTTTTGCCAGATATTCAGAGAAAATTCAAGACTTAACACTGCCTGAATTTATCCAGGAAATAGTGTTTCATATTCTTTCAAATGTTTTTTAATGAAGAAGTCAAGCTAAAATGAAAGGCTTTTTTAGAAGACAAGGAATAGCTCCACTGAACGGGAATTATCAGCCACAATGATTTTTTTAAGCAAGAAAAATATGGAAAAAAGTAACTTGAGAGAAATTGTATTTAAGTATGATTGGAAACTATTAATTAGCTTATATGGAAGAAATTAATTCAAGAAAGCAAATATTGCTCTATACTCTTAATTAATGTAATACCCTTTTAAAATCACTTGATGAGTAAAGTATGTTTTCTATTGCTGAGAACATCAGTAACATAAAACCAGAAAACACTACTTAAATACAAATTGGTATCTCTCTAGAAAATTACTCACTTAGTAAAATATTCATTGCCTGGTAATACTAGTCTGGCAAAGAAAGATCAGGATTTCAGCTACTTGAGAAAAGACAGATCGACCTATCTTGTTCAACTTCCACGTATCTCTGCCCCCCGCCCCCCAAAACAGGCAGGATGCTAGCTGAGGAGCCAGGGTTTCTCTCATGACTGCTACTGAGGAAAAGCCGAGTCCATCAGAGTCTGCTATTTCAGAACAGCCAAAGCGCCACTGTCCCAATCCACTTCAGCA